GCCGGATCGGCTTTCACCGTGGACGAAGCGGAGTCCAGCCCGGGGTCGTCACATGTGGTTGCCGCAAGCCTCCTTCGTCGAATCTGCTGGCGGCGACGTTCTCAAACCCACCCGCCGCCGCTCACTCTAGCCGCGGTGTGTGACGCTGTGTTTCGTTGTGAAAGCGAAACTACTTTGTTTGGTCTTCCAAAAGAGGACACGACTAGAAATCAGTGGTTAAGTTGTATTTACAACACTGTTCCAGAACACTTCAACCCAAATATTCAGATGTGTCCAGCGCATTTTACGCAGGACTGTTTCCTGATCCTGGGAGAGTAGACTACAATGCCGGCTGTTCTGACTCACAGACTGTAAGTATGTTTTTTATATTTAAAGAGTTTTTATATTTTTTATATTTAAAGCGAGTTTTTTGGGCAGTGTAGAGTAGGGCTTGTTGTTTGTCGGATCTCCGATCACAAATGCAGACATGGTTTTATGTGTACGCGGCGCGATGCAACGCAACGCATAAAAAGACAGTATAAGTCATTATAATCAGTAATTATGTCCCCACTGGATGCAACAAATGCCTCGTTTATAATGGGTTTTAATGTTTTTGTCTCGTCGCTCCGGCTGGACACGGCATCAACAGTATCGTGAGGGGTGTAACATTTCCGTCACACGTTTGAGGTATTCGGCCAATCACAATGCACTGGATAGCTGGCCAATCAGAGCACACCTCACTTTTCAGACCGATGAGCTTTGTAAAAATCAACAAGTTTCAGAAAGACGGGACAGAGAGGAGAAACAATAATGTACAGTATGTGGAAAATAATGTGTTTTTTGAACCTTAAACCCCATAAACACATTTCATTACACCAAATACACAAAATCATGTTCTTTTTAGCAGCATCATATGACCCCTTTACCAGTAAAGGGAAGTGGAACTTCAATAACAAGGAAAAGCAGAAGTGTCGCATGTTGCTCTCAATACATCTGAAATGTGCACATTTCAAGTACAGTGACAATAAATACTGCATAAGAAAACAAACATTTCTTAGAAAAATGTACTGTGGTGATACTGTGGAACAGTGATTGTAAGCATATGTTACTTTGATGCATATATCAAAGTACTAGAGGTGTACTATATATGATAAGTTCACATATTTACGAGCCTAGATGTTTATAATACCTTTGTGTAACATGGAAACATGTCAAAAAACATGGTCATTTTGCTGGTGGTCTTGACTGTTGCTCCCAAATTTGCAAAAGTTTATTATTTTTGAGTAAGGTAGCATGAAAACGAATATCTCTTACTAAAAATATACTGTAAAACCATTGCACTTTATATATATATATACATACACACACAACATAGTATTTACATGTAATCAATATATTTCAAAGAATACCATAGTGCAAACATATAAAATAATGTGCATGTGTGTGCAATACCATGCCACTTTTCTGTTTTGATATATTGTGGGATTCAATACATCTGAAATATGCATATATTTAATAACTGCTAATTAAATAATTAATTTATAATTTATAAGTGCAGCCTTAAAAATATCCTTGCATAAGAAAACAAACATTCTTTAGAAAAACATACTGTCCTATTATATTATATTGATGGCAAGCATCTAAGTGCCACATGCATACCACTTGTAAGCTCACATATAATACCTTGCAACATTGTGGTATTTTTTGTTTGTTTTTTTGTCTTTTCACCCCACATCAGGTTAGGTCAATGCACCTGATATGTGCATGCTTTCAATTAAAGCCATAGACAGAAACAAGCATGCAAACGTCCCAAACTCTCACCTCCACGTTTCCTCTGCGTCCTCGAGGCTCGTCTGCGTGACTCCTCGCGCTCGCGCCCCACGCATCCTCCCATGACTGTCAATCAAACGCAGGCCACATCTCGAGACAGCATCTATATTCACTCCTGCTTTGTTATTATTTGATTTCCCAAACGGAAACAGCACTGCGCTTCAAGTGACCACTGCGCTGTGGGTGATACAGCAGCAGCAGTACGTGCATTAAAGGGAAGTCTAACTAACAACTAACTAGCTAACTTACAGCGGCTAGCCAAGAGCACGAGCTTTATCCTGAACTCATCAATCCAGTCTAAAAATAATAATAAACAGCATCAGCGAGACTGGTATTTGAGATATGTAGACTATTCCGCGCTTACTTTGTGGTGTTTCAAATCATTTCTGCGTCGCAAACCTGCCTCTGCTCTTTATCTCTCGCTAGTCTACCTTTCCCCCCCCACTGGTGTTTCCTACTAGCTCACGTTACACCGCGCATGCGCACTCTGACCATGTGACTCCACCAGAGCCCCTCCTCTAGAGGGAGACTTCAAACTCAAGAGAAAATGCAGTGGCATCTGGAGGAGGTGATGCACGAGTGCGCATGTGTGTGAAAGTTTGTCACATAATAAACAGACTGTTTGTCCGCTGATCTGCAACATGCTTGGCATGACATATTCATCTTGGAGGGAGCTATATTCTATTTTAATCCTACTTTATTTATCTTCTTTTTTTATTTTTTATTAAAAAAAACAACAACAAAAAACAAACAAACACTAACTTTCTATTTTTTCTATTCTATCTACTTGTTTTTCTTTGTGTGTGTGTGTGCGTGTGTGTGTGTGTATGTATATGTGTGTGTGTGTGTGTGTGTGTGTGTGTGTGTGTGTGTGTGTGTGTATGTATCCTGAGTGTCTCTTAAAGGGCACACCGCACTATAATGTGATGCATGCAAAAACATAGTTTTGGCCGTTACAATGTGTGTGTATGTGTATGTGTGTATATATGTGTGTATATATATATACACCTTGCTACGTGTACTGCGTTAGGCTTAGACTTGTCATTTGCACTTATATATTGTTGCTCTTTTGTTAGTTTTGACTGCTTTTATTGTCCTCATTTGTAAGTCGCTTTGGATAAAAGCGTCTGCTAAATGACTAAATAAATAAATAAAAAATATATATATTCGCAGTTTGATTTACAGAGCAGTGAAGCGATTTAAGGTTTTAATAAGCCATTACCTCTGACAAAAGACACTTTCTTTTTTTTGCCAAAGCAGCAAGACAACATAGAAATATTATATTATATACTGTAATATACAGTTTATTTATTGAAAATCTATTAAAGGGAAGACTCCAATGATAAAACAACAACAAAAGAGATTTAAAAAAAAACACTAAAATCTGAACAACGCATTAAAACTATTATTAAAACAGTCTAGAAAAAACTGATCATGTTGAAATAGGGTCAAAAGAAGAAGAAGCAGAAAAATGGTTCCTGTCTTACGCAACGTTTTGCTAAATGTAAAAACAAAAGAAAATAAAACGAAAGAAAGAGTTTGGCGTCTCCACCACTTTAAGAACTCTCTGACTGCACTCTGTGTGTTTGAGCGCTGTATGCAAATGTCTCAGAGACGTTTTCTTTCATTGTAATATTGAATATTTATTTTTATAGCCACTTTATTGTCATTTTGGAGTCATTTTAAATTGGACATGACATTTTTAATGGACAAAATGGAAATTTAAAAAAAAAATAGAACCTTAAAAATTTTACCTTATTTACAAAACCAACGTTTTTCTGACAAACAAAACTAAATAATAATTATTTTAATTATTTTAGCTATATTTTAAAATCGCAAGTCAACCTTAAGATGTACTTGATTACACAAAACAAACAAATAAATAAATAAATAATTCTGAAAACTGCAAAAAAAAAAAATTTGTTTGTTTTTAATGTTTATTCCTGTGTTTTTATTATTGTTGTGATTTGTTCTTTATCTCAAATTATCGTAGCTGTTAAATAATGTTTTGTACGTGTTGTGAACTAAAAACAAAAGTCCTTTCGCGGATGCCACCCGCCATAAAACAAGAAGAAGAAGAAGAAGAAGAAGAAGAAGAAGAAGAAGAAAGTCCTTGTCCTCAAGGAAAATAAAGAAAAACTTAATTTGATGAACATTTTGGGGAATAAATCAGAGGAATTTAGAATTTATAGAATAATAATATTCATAGAATATTAGAATTTATTGAAGAGTACGGTCCTGATCCACACTCCTAATCAGTAGGCGGCGGTAATGCGCCTAAAAGTTGTAGCCATCCGCCATTAAACACCAAGAAGAAGAAGAAGAAGAAGAAGCCGCCGCAGCTGTTGTGCGCATGCGCAGCTGAGTTTGAAGCCTAGCTGGCTGCTCTTCTTCAGGATGGCCGCGGATAACAGTGTGCTGCTGGGTTTAGTGGAAGAATTCGTGTCTGGACAGGTTGACAGCAAGGCCGCAGAAACCGTTACAGGTAGCGCGTTCATCGGTGTCTCTCGTCTTGGCTGTTTCTTGTCAGTTTCAGCGCCGACTCTTAATGAAAGCTCTCAGAAAACGCAGCGCGAGCGCCGCGAGCTAACGACCACATCCTGAGTCTCGCACGCGCTGTGGCTGCAGACTGGGGCTGAACAGAAAGATAAAACCTTTGTTAGGTATTTTAGCTTCATAATACAGCCAAACCAGGAGTTGCCACGGCGTCGTTTTCTTTATTAAAGGCTTGTTTGTCTTGCTAAGCTGCTAGCGGAGCCCCAAGCCTACATTTCTAAGGCTTCTAATCTAGCGCCTCTTTAATTCTTGCTTTTATTTTGTTAGAAATATTTCAGTTACTGCACTGAAGCGACTTCTGTTTGCTTGATTATCCATGCATCATTTATTTAGAATCTCAGATAGGATCATCTCTCACCTCTCAATCATTGTATTGCGTTGCATTTTATGTTTTGAGCATCGAACTAAGCGTTTAAAGATATCATCTTACTAATACACAGTGTTGGGGGAAGTTACTTTTAAAAGTAATGCATTACGATATTGCGTTACTCAATAAAAAAGTAACGAATTACGGTACTTAGTTACTTTTTATGGAAGGTAATGCGGTACGTTACTTTTGCGTTACTTTTAAAAATCTGGACAGGGCTTGCTGGTTTGTTTTTAAAATAAAAAAGTTATATTTTTGGCAAATATAAAAGCCTTTTCACACCAAAAGTGAAATGAATGCACCTCAGGCTGAAGGGAAAGTACAGTAGAATGCAGAAGAAGACATTTCAACACACTTCAGCGATAAACAAAGACACACAGATGTGTGTCTAGAGTAATGTGTGTTTATTAGTACGCTTGAACTGCATCATCCAAGAATGGGATTAAATACATAAAGCATATTTGTGTTGTTTAACATTTAATTATTGCAGGTTTGCGTCATATTCTGAGTTGTATTATTTTTATTCATTTTGAGGAATACTGAATCTGTGTTTTATTTTTTATTTTGTGAGTGAGATGAATTAATGCATATTCATATTTATTTTAGAACTACAGTAACATCTGATTTCTGTCACCATGGCGACACCAGAGCGGTCAATCAATACATTGGAGAAAAAAAATTAACTTGCGTCACTTATCTGAAAAAGTAACTCAGATATTCTCTTGTGAATTAAAAAAGTAATGCATTACTTTACTAGGTACTTGAAAAAGTAATCTGATTACGTAACGCGCGTTACTTGTAATGCGTTACCCCCAACACTGACTAAGACACGTTAATAGAGATATGACGGCTGATATTGATATAATTTTATGTAAGCTAGTCTGCAAAACCTAATAAAGATCTCAGTGATTTGCATTACAAGCATCAGAATGTCATCTTACTTTTTTGCAATATTGTGTCTAGAGTAATGTGTGTTTATTAGTACGCTTGAACTGCATCATCCAAGAATGGGATTAAATACATAAAGCATATTTGTGTTGTTTAACATTTAATTATTGCAGGTTTGCGTCATATTCTGAGTTGTATTATTTTTATTCATTTTGAGGAATACTGAATCTGTGTTTTATTTTTTATTTTGTGAGTGAGATGAATTAATGCATATTCATATTTATTTTAGAACTACAGTAACATCTGATTTCTGTCACCATGGCGACACCAGAGCGGTCAATCAATACATTGGAGAAAAAAAATTAACTTGCGTCACTTATCTGAAAAAGTAACTCAGATATTCTCTTGTGAATTAAAAAGTAATGCATCACTTTACTAGGTACTTGAAAAAGTAATCTGATTACGTAACGCGCGTTACTTGTAATGCGTTACCCCCGACACTGACTAAGACACGTTAATAGAGATATGACGGCTGATATTGATATAATTTTATGTAAGCTAGTCTGCAAAACCTAATAAAGATCTCAGTGATTTGCATTACAAGCATCAGAATGTCATCTTACTTTTTTGCAATATCAGCGTTTGCAGCGAATTGCATAATTTTGCTCTGTTTAGGTCTCAATAAAACAGGTGTTTTTTTTCTCGTCCATAATTCTCAAAATATCATGCTATATGAGGCATAAAAGCCTGATGTATCGGATATAATGCCAAACAAAAAACAAGCAATCATGCAAAGTCTTTTTTTTTTTTTTCTGTTATATTTAGCCTTTTTTATAGCTTTTTTCTGACTATTATTTCATACACTCTTAAATATAAAGGTGCTTCACGATGCCATAGAAGAACCTTTTTGTCTAAATGGTTCCATAAAGAAGCTTTAACATCTGAAGAACCTTTCTGTTTCACGATCAGCATATTTTCATAATTTCTGAAGATCATGTGAGACAAGACTGGAGTAATGATGCTGAAAATAAATTACATTTTACAATATATTTAAATAGAAAGCAGTTATTTTAAATTGTAATAATATTTCATAATTGTATTGTTTTTAGTCAAATAAATGCAGCCTTGGTGAGCAGAATAAACTCCTTTCAAAAACAATCTCACCAACCAAACTTTTGAACAGCAGTGTGCAGTATTTTTAGCCAAGTCTTTTTTCTAATTGTTAGAAATGTTACTTAAAATATAATAAGAAAAAAGTCAATTAAATTCAAATATGTTTTGGTAAAAAATGGCATACAAAACATGGCTGAGTTATCGTTTTAATTGTAACCGATTATCACAAGTTTACTAACAAACCATTAGCTAACTAAGCAATGTTACATTATAGTTAGATATTTCAATCGTTGCAATTTGATATGTTCATTACGTGAATGCCGGTGAGTGCAGGACATCCTGAGTGCCCTAATGATACGTGTGTAAACTCCAATCCAGCTTGAAGACATAACGTTTATTTTTTCTCACTTCTCTGCAACAGTCCTTGATGCTGGCAGAACGATCCTGTGTTTACAACATCCTTATCAGTCTAATGGAGTCCAAAGAGGAGGGTGAGGAATGCCGGCAATCTTTCTTTCTCTCCTTTATGTTACTGCCTTTACATTCATGGAACAGCACCAGTGTAAGCTGTTTCTTGTTCCACAGAGCTCAAAGGTTTGGGTGCAGACTTCATATTTGGATTTGTGCAGTCAGTAGATGGAGAGCGAGATCCACGCAACCTCCTGCTGGCGTTCCAGGTGGCCAGGAACATCATTCACAGGGGTTATGATCTTGGTGAGTGTATACCTGGAGTTGAACCCAAGCGCTTTTAATGTAAAGTAAAAAAATTTGTTTAATGGAGAGAGAAAAAAAAAATTATATATATACACACACACACACATAAATGTTGTTTGGTCAGTAATTCTGTTGTCTCCATTTTTCAGGTAAATTTGTCGAGGAACTGTTTGAAGTGATGTCCTGTTATTTTCCTATCGACTTTAGCCCTGTAAGTACTGCTGTCTAACATGTTTGCATTTCATGCTTTACCCTAAAATTCAGTACATTTCTTTCTTCAAATTTACACTACTGTTCAAAAGTTTCGGAGCAGTAAGATAAAAAAAAAAAGTCTTGCTCACCGAGGCTGCATTTTTTAAATATCAAATATACAGTCAAAACAGTAATAATATAATATGTTTTCTATGCGAATATATATTAAAATGTAATTTATTCTTGTGATGCGCAGCTGTATTTTCAGCATCATTACTCCAGTTTGTCTTGCTCACCGAGGCTGCATTTTTTAAATATCAAATATACAGTCAAAACAGTAATAATATAATATGTTTTCTATGCGAATATATTTTAAAATGTAATTTATTCTTGTGATGCGCAGCTGTATTTTCAGCATCATTACTCCAGTCTTATAATATGCTGATTTGAAACATTTAGTTTTATTATCACTGAAAAAAAGATGTGTTCATATTTGATGTCTTAATATTTAGTGGAAACCGTGATTCTTTGATGAATAGAACATTCCAAAAACAATTATCTGAAAGAAATCGTTTCATTATAAATGTCTTTACTGTCACTTTTGGTTCACACATGCTGAATAAAAGTATTAATTTATACTACATACTCATGTAGACATGTAAATGTCTGGGCTCATATTTGTGTTTCTCTGTCTGTGCTCAGCCACCCAGTGATCCTCATAGGATCACACAAGAAGAGCTTGTTCTTTCTCTGCGGGCTGTTCTTACTGGGACGTCTCAGTTTGCTGCGGTAGGATGCTCTGGATGACCTAAACCTAATTCAGTCTCTTAAAGACACAAACTCAATAAGTCTTTGTTTGGCATTATACTGTGTATCAATAGACTGAAGTCGTTTCGTGAATGGACCTTTTGTGTGTGTGTGTGTGTTTGTTTATTGTGTTTTGTATCCTTTCTGTTGACAGTTTCTTTTACCATTGATCATTGAGAAGCTGGACTCCGATATTCAGAGTGCCAAAGTGGACTCGCTGCAGACACTGGTACAGCTGCAGCGCAGACGCTACACTTACTAGATCAGTGCTTCTCAACTGGTTCTGCTTCAGGTTTTACACTGGTGATGAAATGATGACACAACACAGTACCAAAAGTAAAAAACATAGTCAAACATTGAAATTGAAATGAAAAATCATTTTCAAGAATGAGGTCATGTCATCCAACCTTTCCGTATTTCCATCTGCCTCATTTGACTAGCTTGAATTAGTTCCAACCAGAGTTATTATAGGTAACTAAAACTAAAACCATAAAGTTGTTTTCATTACTTGAAATATAATACACTTAAATATAAATAAAATAAAATATATATAAAAAAAATTAAACTTATTTTATTTCAGCTAGTTGCAACATTTCTCATTTTCATTTAGTACTAAAATAAGTCAAATTGAAATAAAAATGAATAAAAACAGGGTTTATGTCAAGAAGAAAAGTTTTTTTTCTCCTTTTTAAATTTGAAATAATCAATGTTAAACTATCACAACACTGTGCATGATTATATTATTTTATTGTTTGCAGTTAGCATTATTTCTTCCTCCTTGATGAGAGTGCAAACCTGGGAGCCACCTTCTGAGAACCGCTGTTATAGATCTTACATTTATGCATTTGGCAGACACTTTTTTACCAAAGTGGCTTACATTGCCATTTCACTCAAGCTACACATTTTATTTGTTCATGCCTAGCCTGGAAATCGAACCCCTGACTTTGCTTTTTGCCATGCTTTACTGTTGCTCTGGCTGAAAATATCTTCTGAAATAAATGCTCTAAACATTCTTGTGTGTTGTAGGCCGCCTGCGGTCTGACATATAGCCATAAAGAGCTGGCAGAATTCCTTCCAGGCCTTTGGAGCTCAATACGGAGGGAGGTAAGAGAGATCGGCATAAAACAATGGATACAGGAACTCGCAGGTGCTTTTCTCATATTAGTTTGCTCTGTACTGCACTCTTCCCACTGCTTTATGCCAAGACTTTCAGTTTCAAATGGCTAGAGTGCAAACCAGAAGAGTTATTTTAGGTCAAGTTTGGACAAAATGCAGCTGTAAAGCCGCTCAATTAAAGACAATAGTGACATTATTCAGCTCAGTTTAGATCAATGTTGATTCGGTTTCAGTTCAATTACAGTGTCAGTGTTATAAAGTTAATCAATTATGTAATTAATTCAATTCAGCTGTAAAGCAGCTCTACAGAAGACAATAGTGTAATTTTTCAGCTCAGTTTAGTTCAATGTTGATTCAGTTCAGTGTCGATTTTGCAAAGTTCATCAATTATAAAACGATGCAAGTTTTGTTCTCATCTGGTAGTATCAGTGCAGGCAAATCAATAATTGCTACAAGCAATAAAAAAAAAAAGCCAGACTAGCATATTCTCACCAGAGCATCCGCTGGAACGGCACTTTCTCGTGAACACGCATACCAGTTAGTGAAAGCTAGAGATTACGGTTTATAAAGTTTTAAATAAGGAAGCATCGCTTCACTTCAGAAGGCCTTTATTAACCCCCGGAGCCGTTTGGAGCACTTTTTATGATGGATGGACGTAGTTTTTTGGCCTTTAAAATCTCCAGCCCCATTCACTGCCATAAAGTTTGGAAGAGCTTTGAGTTCCGTGGTCGTTGAATCTTGAAAAACTGGAGGGACTGATAAAAAATGTAAATAACTTTGCTATATGGTCTATTTGATCTGAGTTTATTTCCTGTATGCAGGTGTTCCAGACGGCCAGTGAGAGAGTGGAGTCAGCTGGTCTGTCAGCTCTCAGTGCACTGGTGTCCTGTCTTTCTCGTTCTGTGCTCAGTTCAGATTCGGAGGATGTGCTGCAGGTGTTTCTAAGCCTCGTCCTCAAAGGTACCTGCAAATGGTGGATTCAAGCGAGTAAAGATGTTCTCTACGTAGTTATATGGATTTAAAGGGATAGTTCAACCTAAATTGAAAATTTGCTGTTGAGATCCAAGATGTAGCTGACTTTTTTTTTTTTTTTCTTCAGTAGAACAGTAAAGAAGGTTTTTAGCTGTAATTGTGGTCCTTGGCGATTCATGAAATGCAAGTCAATGCTACCGTCGCTTTGAGAATCAGAAGATTAACACCCATGGCTCTTAGCGATATATTGAGGTTTTATGAAGTGAAACGATCAGTCTGTGCAAGAAACTGAACATTATTTACAACATTATTACCTGTAGAGCCTCAGACAAACGGGGAAGTCCGATTCTTTTCCGAGAAACTGGTTCATTCGCGCAGTTCGTTTCAATAAACGGGTTCAAATAATTTATGCCACAACATATATGCAGTTATATTATTAAAGCACAGATGTTTTACATATCTAAAGCATATAAAGTGAATAAACTTGCCTTCATCAGCTCACCTTTTGACATAAACAATAAGAAACCATATTCAAGTGTTAGGTTCACGGATGCACATCTCAGCGGCTCTTCGGTCCGAGTCTGTTTCCTCAGTTCAGTGACTGTTGGAGGAACTGGAGCGCTGAATGATTCATTTGTCACAGGATCAGATACGCCGCTAATTTGGCTCATTTACAGTCGGAGTGACTGTCAGGCGTCTGAAAGTGAGTTTTGATTGAGTAACTTATAGACCTGTGCTGCTCGAGTGGCGAACAGTTTCAGACGCTTCAGTCCGATTTGGTTCACTAAAAAGAACCGGTTCAAATGAATGATCCGTTCGTAAACCGGACATCACTCCGGACCGTTTGCCATAGGCTCTGGATTACAGGTAATAATGTTGTAAATAATGTTCAGTTTCTCACACAGACCGATCGTTTGGCTTCATAACACCTCAATATATCATCAGGAACTTTCCCTTTAATGCAAGAATGATGCAGAAAGGGCCAAAACAGCCGATCATGCAAAATAACATCTTTTCATGATTATTCCGGGCCGCCTAGTTAATTATCAAGACAAAGGAGACTGATCAGACTCATAACCCTGTCATCTTCACATGCAGTCATATATATCAGTGCCGCCCAGGCTTGTTCTACCATCACACCTGATGTGTGTCTCGTCCTCTCAGACTGTCAGCACCATCTCTGCGAGCCAGACCTCAAGCTGGTGTGGCCCAGCGCCAAACTCCTGCAGGCCGCCACCGGAGCCTCGTACAGAGCGAGTCTGATAGTGTCAGCAGCTGTCATACCTGCCCTCCTGGAGCAGTATAATAACAGGACGCAGGTACGATCTTGTCCATCTTTAACTAATATTCTCCGCACAGGTCTTGACGCTTACTTTTTCCCGCATGTGCCAAGTTGAAAAATGTTGGATCACATCAAAAAAAAAACTTTTGGGATGTATCAAATAATATTATATATGTGGAGAGTTTTCTAAAGGAAGACTTTTCTTCCACAGACAGAAGCTATAAGAGTTAGCCTATGTCGAATTAAATGCCAAAATACCAATAATAACCAGAGAAACAAAACAAAAACACTTTTCACATAAAGAACGTAATTCATTAAAGGGATAGTCCACCCAAAAATGAAAGTTGTCATCATTTACTCACCCTCAAGTTATTCTAATCTCTATGAGTTTCATTCTTCGGTTGAACACAAAAGAGGAATTTTTGAAGACCGTGGATAATCAAACGGTTAACGGTAGTCTTCGACTTCCAGAGCATTTTTGTCATACCGTGGAAGTCAATGGCTACCGTCAGCCATTTAAGATATTTAAGACTATTTATGACATTACATTTTATAAAAAAAATTTAGACATTTTTTTGAAGACCCATGAGGACTTACACAGGCATAATGTGCTGTAATGCATGCGTTTGACTGTATCTTTCTACAGTCTGCTCAGCGGCGCACCCTGCTGGAGGTTCTGCAGGGTTTCGTGCAGCCCACCGCACTCAGCCGGCCTGCAGACGGAGGTGCGTGAGAAGATAAAACCGTCAGATCCCATGCATACGATTACCATTTCAAGTGCATGTTTGTTACCACTTGCTGGAAAGAGTCTCAGCAAGTTTAAGTAATATAACACATTTCAAATACTTGTTTAGTATGTAGTGTTGATGCATTTCTCTCTCTGTCTCCTACATAAACACACAGAGGACAGTGTATTGGTTGCGTTTCAGCAGTCTTTGTGTAGCGTGGTTTTCTCTGCGCTGACGGAGTCTAGCGCTGGTCTCCAGGTTACAGCCACACGAGTGCTCACTGCTCTGGGACAGCAGCCCGGTGAGTGCATACACAACATTTTTGTAAGAAATTAATACTGTTGTTCAGCGAAAATGCATTAAATTGATCTAAAGTGGTGTTAAAGACTTTTATAACGTTACAAAAGATTTCAAATAAATGCTGTTCTTTTGAACTTTCTATGTAAGTTTTCTTAAAAAACATTGATGATAATCAGAAATGTTTCTTGAGCAGCAAATCAGCATATTAGAATGATTTCTGAAGATCATGTGACGCTGAAGACTGGAGTAATGATGCTGGACATTCAGCTTTGATCACAGCAATAAATGACATTTTACAGTATATTCACATAGAAAACACTTCAACACTAAATCAAATACATGCAGCGTTGGTGAGCATATTTTTAATTTATTTAAGTCCACGCATTTCTTTCTTGCACCAAAACACAATTTTAACATACTTTTATATCTCTCTGACCTGCATTTTTTAAATGTGTGTTGATCAATTATTTGTGAATATGATTAGATAACCGTTTCTTTTGCAAGTAACATTGCTCATGGATTGGTCATTTGTTGTTGGCACTCTCCCGTTGTTTAAAAGAGTTTGCAAATGTAGCCTTAAATTGTGTAACATTCATTTAAAAAAATCTGCTCTGTAAACTGTTGAAGTCGGAGTTATTGTTGTTAACCATTAAAACATTTTGTTCATTGAAATAAGATATAAATATTAGAATCAATATTTAAAAATGAAAAAATGTTTCCTTTGCAATTAACTGAAATACTTTAAGCTTAATCACATAAATAAAAACTGAACTGAAACTGAAGTAAAAACAAATTAAACCTAAATAGTATTTAAAAAGAACAGAAACTAATAAAAGTCAAAAGCGCACAGCAACATTTCTAAAAATGAAACTAAATTTAAAACTGAAAGTAAAATAAAAGTGAATTCAAAATATTAATAAAAAATATATATCATAGTATATACATATTAAAATAAGTTCTTGAACACTAAATAGTTATTGAAATGTAAATGTGGTCGGTCAAAGAATAACAGGCTCATGGGATACTCTTGTTTTGCTCCTCACAGGTTTGCTGGCTCAGACTGATGTGGAGAAAGTGGTTGATCATTTGACCAGACTCATTCTGGAGGAAGACGATACTAAAGTCAGGTAGACGTGTTTGCATTTTGATGTGAATTATTCCTTTAAAGCTTTTCCCGTACTGATGTTTGTGTCTCTCAGTTTGGCTGTGGTGGAGTGTTCAGGCTCTCTGGCACATCTGCATCCCAAAGCCTTTATTTCCAGGCTGATTCCTCGACTGAAAGAAGAGATCCTGTCAGGTGGGACCCCGGAGTAGAAAGCACACACCAACTCGAACAGCATGTATGGCAGGTTAATATTTAATTAGGGACTGCTTTTCTCCACAGGTCAGTCTGATGCAGCTGTACGTCAGCGGTGTGTGACGGCGTTAGCGTCTGTGTCGTCTCTGCCCAGTGTGGTGCAGGAAAGCGCCCCCGTTCTTCTACAGTTGCTAGCTTCAGCCCACACAGGTACACAATCATTTTACAGCAAGATTTATTTTCTGATAATCTTTTCCAGCTTCTAGTGATTATTAGCTGGTTATTGTGACATTTGCGTTACCTTGCATAAGCCTCCACAAACTTTCATGCTTGCAGCTGCCAGATGTCAAGACTTTAAATCCTACATTTAGGGTTTTTCTCTTTAAATGGACACATTTTATTACACTGTTTTCATCCCAACCTGGCAACCACGCACACTAAGTGGTTGACAGATTGTGGTTTTTGACAAATACTAGGTTGGACCACACTGGCCGATAACCGATAAATCAACTGATAGTTTTTGAATGAAAGCTGAAATAGTGCTGAACTTTATTACAAACAAAAAAACAGTGCTTAACTATGAAAATATACTGTACTTTTTAAATTAATTAAATATGTATTAATTATACCTTGATCGTTCATGTTAGCTCATAGTGCATTAACAGATACAGATTTACATTTGAACTGTTTTAGTAAATGCTGAAATTAACACTATAACAAGGAGCAATGCTTCAACAGCAATTGTTAACCTTAATGTTACAAACGGACTCTTATTGCAAACTGTTACCATTTTATAGAAATGCTTAAAGTTGGCCATCTTTAAATATCTACAATATCGGTATGGATTTTTGCCGACAACGTTTGTTCCAGCAATTGGTTATCGGTGCCGATTAATTGGCAAAAGTGATCAATCGGTCAACCTCTAATGTATGCACACTCTCTCTGGACTGTGAAAAAGGAGCTGAAAACACCAACAAACACGTATGTTTTGGTTTAGTGATCTCCACTGTGATATTTTGCTCACATAGCCAGTCTATTTTCTTTCCTGTGGTCGTTTGCGCTGTTTGCTGTGACTGAATCGGCGAAACCTCAGTGATGAACTGTAATTCAACAACATGAAACTTGACTACACTATGCTCCTAATTATTATGCAAGTGACATATCAGTAGGATTTCAGTAAAATTAAACATTCAGATTTTAGTGTTTTCAAAGAAAGTACACACTTACTCCGTGCCACAATATAAATTCATTGTTGATTTAATAGGAAAAAAGGTTAAAATAATTGTGAAATGTTGGTGTTGATATTAGGAATTTCACTGGTTCAGCTTTTGAGAGAAGCTTTTTGTTTATTATAAATAATATAAATGTATATTATAAATATAATTTAAAATATAATAGTATTATCACACTTTACTTTCAGACAGCACGTGCTGTCAGTGATTCGCCTCTAGAGGCCGCTCTCGTACTGTACTGTATAATGACAGCGGAGCTTCTCAGCTCCAGCATCGGACGAAATCTGGGAAAACTATTGCAATCGACTACCCGTGCCGATTAATCGCCAAAACTGATCAGTCGGTCGACCTTTAGTAATTAGATTAGAAATATAAACATTTAAAAGGTGGCTGTCATAAAAACGTGTTTATGCTGTAACTAGTAGTAAAGAGGAAGAGATGATCGATTCATATGGCACTTAAACTGATCTGTCAGTTCACATTAAATAGCACCAAAACCGCATTCACTGTTTGAATTTGATTATAAAATTTGATAGCTTTCAAATAGAATTTGGAAGCTCATACGTAGTTTCATAAACGTAACATGGGAATCCTGCTACAAATGTTTAGTGAAATTTTATTCACACATCAACTGAAAACAACATTGACTAAAAGATCGATTCTCTGGATTTAAGAACCTATATTTGTTAGTCAACATGAAGATCGAATAAAATCGATCAACTCTAATAAAAAATATACAAACTTTCAAATGTAAGCCTTATTGTTTTCTTATAGATCAGCGTCCCGCATGGCCTCCCAGGCTGTTTCTCTGTTCCTGGATGGAGACGTGTCTTTTCTGCCAGAGAATGCCTTCCCTTCCCAAATCCAGTTGCTCCAGGTGTGACAAGATCATCTCTCTCAAAGTCAGCTTTACATCTGACAATCCAGATTAACCGCTTCAATATCAGAGACTCTTCTGGAAGGATTTGACGGAATAGTTCATCCAAAAATGAACATTTGCTGACAATTTACTCCCTTTTTAATGTCTAGTGAAGCCAAAAGATGCATGTTTGTAAGAAACAAATCCATCATTAAGGTGTTTTAACTTAAAAGAGACGTATTTTAGGGTGAACTATTACTTCAGGATATCACATCTCAAGTGAATGGTGGTCTGGCCCACACCAACGTCTCTCAGATCATCAGTAGGGCTGGGAAAATAAACCGATGCATCGCGAATCGAGAAATGAATCCGCATCGATTCTGAGATTTTCCCAATGCATCGCGAGTCTTTCTCTAGTGGATTCTGAGCTTAGTTTTGAACAGCAGATGGCGCTGCATGCTTTAGAAACAGCCGTACTCTGCTTGTTTCCAAATCCTTACACACATTTGAAATTCGAAAAGGTTGAAACGAATTACAAGGGTGTTCACAGTGGGCTGTGTTTACATTAATCAGGGGTCATAAAAGCATTCCAAGCGAAGGTGAAATTACAGACTCAGCCGAACACACAAGCGCTCTTCTTTATGAGCATGCGGATAAAAACTAGAGTGGAGCGCCATCTGCTGTTAAAACCTAAGCTCAGAATCGATTCCAGAGAGAATCACGATGCGTTCGGAAGATCTCAGAATCCATCCACGAATCGATTCTGCATCGATTTATCGTCACAGCCCTAATCATCAGTATCTTAAGTATCGTCATAAAGTTCTCCCATGTTCTGGCAGCAGCATCTGTAGTGTCGTCTGGAGATGAGGGTTTGTTTGTGTGCTGCTGCTTTATTAATTGTCCTTGTTTTCTCCAGAGCCAGACGGAGTCTCGGGGTCCGTCTCAGTTGGTGTGTCTGCTGATGGCCTGCGTCTGCTCTCTTCCACGCAGCGTGAGTTAAACTCATGTTTCATCAGAATATGCATTCAGTACAGGGCTTTTCATCAGAATCCTATACTGTAAAATTTGGGGATTATTTATTTATTTTTTCATAAAAATTGCAATTGCGTCAAACATTTTTGGTCTACTACTACTAGTCCTTCCATTATTTAGTTTTACAGAGACATTTTACAATAAATATAGATATAAAACATCATATAAAAACAATATAAATATATAAAAATATTATTAGATTCTTTTTTTATTGTAGTAAACTGTACAATAACTAATATTTCAGAAAACATAATAATAAAATAATTTTACTGTAAAATTACAATACTAATATTTATAGCTGTCTTCGTTTCTAAATATGATTATAATAATTAACGATAACAATTATTATTATTATTGTATTTTTCTTTAATACTAGATTTTGTTTTACAGTTAAATTACAATAAAACATTAATATAAATAAAAATACTAATTGTTATTTATGATTATTTCTGTTGGAAAATGTCACTGTAAAATAAAAAGTCTAGTATTTTAAGAAAAAAATAATAACCAACCATTTTATTTGTAAAATTACAATACTAAGTTATCTTAGTTCCTAAATATGACTGTTATTATTATGTTTATTTAACTTATTTTGTTTTGCAATGAAATATTACTATAAAATATATAAATGACAAAATAATAATAATATTTTTATTATTTATATGATGATATTTCTTTTGTAATATTATATTACTGTAAAATAAAAAGTCTAGTATTTTAAGAAAAAAATAATAACCAACCATTTTATTTGTAAAATTACAATACTAAGTTATCTTAGTTCCTAAATATGACTGTTATTATTATGTTTATTTAACTTATTTTGTTTTGCAATGAAATATTACTATAAAATATATAAATGACAAAATAATAATAATATTTTTATTATTTATATGATGATATTTCTTTTGTAATATTATATTACTGTAAAATAAAAAGTCTAGTATTTTAAGAAAATAATAACCAACAATTGTATTTGTAAAATTACAATACTAAGTTATCTTAGTTCCTAAATATGACTGTTATTATTATGTTTATTTAACTTATTTTGTTTTGCAATGAAATATTACTATAAAATATATAAATGACAAAATAATATTTTTACTATTTATATGATGATATTTTTATTGTAATATTATATTTCTGTAAAATAAAAAGTTTAGTATTTAAGAAAAATTAAATATTCATCAACATAATTGTATGTTATAGTGCATCTGTAAAATTACAGTACTAGTATTTATGGCTGTGTTCATTTTTTCATTTTCAAACATTTAACAATGGATGAAAAAATGCAGAAATCTCTTAAAGCAACAGCCGGTATATACGTTTGTGAAGTTCTGGTTTCCATAGAAACTGAGTCTTGCGCTTAAGACTGCATATGTGCATTGGCTGAACCAAAATAAATCTATTTAAGGCTGTTTGAGAGGAAGAACTCGCATTTATGGGACAGTTCATGCCATTCATTCACTTCACGACAGGTGGAGATTCCTGAGATTGACAGGCTTCTGGTGCAGTTGGAGGATCTGAGCTGTACCTGTCCACACCTGTTCTCCTACACCTTTGCAGCCAAATGCTTCGCTGGCTTGGTCAACAAGAGGCCGGCAGGTACTCACAGGATTTATCTTCTTCTCAAATCACATGCCCTAAATTTTGTGTAACATGATCTAATGGAAGACTGTTTTCTCTCGATGTACGTCGCTGGAATAATGAATGCGTTATTTGAGCTCTGGAGTTGATTTACCTGATCTGCATATCACGCATGTTGTTTGTGTTCAGGTGAAGCTCTAGACGCGGTGCTGGAGAGAGTGATGAAGAGGATCAGTGTGGAGCTGGAGAACGTTTCCTCTGCTCAGCGGACACAAGCGTTCACTCTGCTGCTCTGGGTAATCACAAAATCACATGATCAAGAGTGTCTTTCCACATCAGTACCCAGCGTTCACACAGGGCTCCTTAAAAAGTCTCAAATTTAAGCTATTAAAAAGTTTCAAATATTGTAAATGGGACAACAGAAGACTTAAAATGTGTAAGATTCATTTATATAGCACATTTAAACAGTACCAAAGTGCTGAACAGAGTCCATTAGTAGACAGTATATGAGCATAAGCATAAAAACATAAAAATATAACGTCGAAGAATGAAGTCTAGATTTAATAACAGTGTTTTTAATCTGTTTATTGTCTTTCTTTAAAGACATTATTACCGTGTCAGCAATTTATTAGTACATAAACCAATGTAATACACATGTATATATTGAATAAAACATGTTTTGAGTATTTTAAGTGTGTAGTTGGCATTATTTTATTATCATTGATATAGTTTTATAGATATTCTTAATATTTTGGAATAGGTTTTATTTTTAGATTTTGGTTTCAATTTTGTTTTATTTAAAGCTTTATTGATTTTGTGGTGTTTGTCATTTTTATTTTTTTAAAGTCTATTTTTAATATTTTATATTAGTATATATTATTTTTTATTTATTTGTTTTAGTTTAATTGTTTTAGTATTTTGACTTGATCAAAAATGGGAAATGTTGTAACAGCAAAATTTACAACAATTTGAACAATTTAAACAATCATGGAAATTGTTGAATTTTATATATACAAATATATATAATGTCACTGTTATTTGATCACATGATAAAATATTTTTATTAAATATCTTAAGATTATAAAAAATGTTATTATTATTATTATTATAAAAAAAAATATTAACAAGTAAATAAAATAAGTAAATCATGTAAATTTACTTGTAGTAAAATTGTGTTAAATTTATTCAAGAGTTTGGGGTTGGTAAGACATCTCTTCTGCTCACCAACAGTAAAAACAGTAATATTGTAAAATATTATTACAATTAAAATGACTTTTCTATCTATCTATAGTATGCATGTTTGTGTATGTGTATATATAAATCAATTTTTTAATGTAATTCATGGCTGTGATGATCTTCAGAAATCAGTATAATATGCTGATTTGCTGCTTAAGAAACAGTTTTTTGCTTCATGTTTGTGTGGAAACCATGCTGCATTTTTTCAGGATTCTTTGATGAATGGAAAGTTCAAAAGAGCAGCATTTATTTGAAGTAGAAATCATTATGTCTTAACTCATTTTTTATCAAATGATTGCATCCTCGCGGAATAAAAGAATAAATGTCTTTCTATTTCTAAAAACACTTCTGGTAGATTGTTGGATGGTGGGCTTGCGTTTGTATTGTTTTTGCAGTCAGGCAGGTTAATTGACCCCAAACTTCGGAACGCTGCTTCTGAAAATATTTTGTTTTGTTTTATTGCATTTAAGCAGAGAATGCCAAATGTAGCCTTTTAAATGTATCCTTCTGAATAACAACCACAAACGATTCATGCATAATAAGACCAGACGTCTAATAATAAATCATGTTGACTTGACTGTGCTATTAATAGTTTTGGTGTCTGTTTCAGGTCCTGCCGTTCCGTGCCAGAGTCCTGAAAGCTCTTGCTGTTCCTCTGGATGACACAAAGAGGCTGGTGAGGATAAAGGCCGTGGCGGCTCGAGGAGAATGGTGAGTCTTACATATTCAAACCTTTGAGGTTTCCACTGACGGCATCTAATGTGGCGTTTCTCATCCGTAGGTTTTTGTTAGGAAGCCCCGGTGGAAGATGAACAGATCAGTGCTGCTGATGACCCAGAACAGAGACGGCTAACCGCACACAGCATTTGATTTTACTCCCTTACCTTCTTTTTTATGATATGGCATGAGTCTGGGCACAGATGTGGCTAAACAAACAGCTACACACACTGCTTGAACATGAGACCCAGTGATGCACTGAGCTTCTGCAGCGGATGCTGAATCAAGAGTAAATCAGACACATGAGCCGCAGTGCATCGTGTGCCAGCAGCGCGCGTGACGTTATCATTTGTTCAATCATGTCGTGTCACTATTATAGGAATGTTAGTTTGATGCAGGATACCGATCTCTCTCGAATCTGCTGTTGATATGACTGTCCTAATGTCAGTATTTTTAAACTATGTTTCATTAGCCACAGGGTTGCTTGTTGTTCATTTTCACAAGACTAACTTAAAGGTCAAACTGACAAAACTGATGCCAAGAATATAAAACAATATTTAAGTGTCATAACCTGTCAATAAAACTTTTTGTAAATGTGTAGATTGTGACACAACTTTGACTATGGCAATCACTAGAATTAAAGGGGTCATATGATGCGATTTAAATT